GTATTCAAGTTAAGCCTTTTTCATCCATCACAACACTTATTGTGTTCATTTTCATATTAACATTAGATGATTTTTTCTTATAATTTGTCCCTAGATCTGTTAACATGAACCACATGCTTTATTTTGAACACTTACAAGAATTGCGATTTATAGGCTATGCATTAAGTTCCCAATTTACTATTGCTTACTTATCTTTCAGGGCTACCCCAGAGATGATCAGTTTGCTGAAGAGGAACTCCTGCGGAAAGGCCCTTGATATTGCGCGTCAGACCAGAGACATGCTCGGTGGCAATGGCATCTCTGATGAATATCATATTATCCGCCATGTAATGAATCTCGAAGCTGTGAACACATATGAAGGTGAGATACAGTGGATGTTGGTGTTTGATAAGCTCTGTATGGAAACTTGGAATATGAAACTTTGATCTTTAAATATACTATGTAGGGAAAGTGCTATATAGAGTTTAGATCTTTGATTTTGATGTAGCCTAAGGTATAAAGAGTTTCTTTGTCAGAAAAGCCTTCTTGTCATGAGAATGTCTCTTGATTTAATTTTTTTTTTCTCATGGCATTACAGGGACACACGACATTCACGCTCTCATCCTCGGCCGTGCCATCACTGGACTGCAAGCCTTCAGTGGAAAATAGAATTGTAGGGTTTTCACAATAATCACGGTGCCTATATGGGGTATAGTCTATATTTTTTCATTGAAAATGCACAAGGTATAGATTGTGAAATTAACGTTCCCTCATTTTTATTGTCTTCTAAGGGAGTGTAGAACATATAAGATAGATGTTATTTTAATTTTAATGTAAATAAGATTTATTCAATGAGCAGCATTAGAGCTCTGAAACTCAAGTTTGCAATTTTGGCATTTTACAGAAATAACTTGGTTAGTTATTCTAACCCTGTCATGCTATATCGTAGATGAGAATAGTATGAAAAGGTTGTCTGTTTATAAGATGAAACATCAGCATTATTGATTATTAAATTTGTTACTTTTCTATTAATTGAATTGACAAGAATCATGAATCTCACAAAAATATATACAGGCCTAGACCTGTAATTGAGTGCTATGCATGATTTTATCCATATTTTCATTATTACTGTTCTTTTTTTTTTACACATAAATAATGTATGAGAGGGAGTTTATCTTCAGATTATTTTTGTATTAGCTAATGTCTCTGTTGCAGCTTTTCAAAAAATGTATTGATAGGGCCTTGTTATAGATTATCCTTCTGTATGTTATCTTTGTGAAGGATATTGCATGGTAGAATGAGTGCTTCCATGAATATCATACTCAATGCGTGTGTCAACCTTCGTTTATCACTAAAGAAATATAGATTTGAATATATGAATTTCATATACTTTGACTTTTTCTCTACCCTGAAATGAAATGAAGAATTATGGTATGGAGATGTTTCTGTCACACTCAGTCCTCATGAGTGTTATTTCAGTTACTATATAACTGAAAAGGAAAAGAATTGTTTAGGCAAATAAATTATAACCCATATATGGACATATCCAACCACAGTAAAAGTAAGGTAGATTGTGGGAGAAGGAGAGGAGGGTCAGACTTTATTGCAAATCTATAACTCATATTTTTTGTATTGTTGAAGCTGAAATGCATTGATTGCATGTAATTTTATCAAGGAATAAACTGAATATCTGTTCAATATCAACCTTTTACAAGAAAAATGATCGCAATGTCAGCTAAGGTTTTACTTTAGAAATTTGTTGACCATTCCTCAGTTAGCCAAGCTATACAAAGAAATAACATGTTTTGAGAAGTATTATGTGTTCCTATGTGTTGAACCAGTCACCTTCTGTTCCAATGGATAAAATCCCTGCCAATCCCTTGCTCATTGTTGTAGGAGGGCTTAGGATGTGGAGACCGAGACCCAATGTAGTGGGTCACCCCTATCTTGGACCTCAGCCCTTGCCTCAACTGATTTTACATTGTGTTTTCCTTTCCACTTTTCCCCATCCTTCTCTTCTTCATCCCCTTCTGTCCACTTCCTAAGGTGTTAAGAGCCATGCAGAAAGTATGTATGGCTGGCTTTGTGTTAGTCCTGAACAGCCTTCATAATCTGTTTGCTTTTCCTTCTTAAGTCTTTTCATTACCATACTGGACAGTGCTCCACAACCTTTGACGTCTAACGTATCTTATTGTAATCATTAACTCAGTTTTACTCTTTCATGCTTGCATGACCTTTGATGTCTGGCACATTTATTTGTTTTGACCATTAACCATTCTGGGAATCCACAAACATTGTCTTTGGAACCAAAAAACTTCCTTATCCATGGGGATTTACCCCTAAGCCTCACCTATCTCTATATTTTGAATATGCTGCTGATAACCTTAGAAAAATTTTAATTTTTTAATAGATAGTTAAAAATGGAAAACATGAGGTACCCAGAGGCAGGTGGGCAAAAATTCTCTTAAGTGTTTTATTGAGTAAACCAGTCACAAGTTAGTTATTGGTATCAGTCTTTTATATATAACATATACATGATTAGACTCATCACAAACACATCATGTGTAGCAGATTTCAAAGCCAGAAAAAAGTATATTATGTGTTGGCATCTCTGCCCCACTACCTGTACCTGTTGAAGGAAAATTATTTGCTGCAGTATTTCTCAACAAACACCTATTAAAGTCTTGATAGTTTGTCTATACCTGGTGTACTGGGATGGCCCACCAGGGTATAGTTCGTATTTTTGTTTTTTCGTATTGCCTAAAAAATTGTTAACATGTTAATAACCCATTAACACACATTCATAAGCATGAAAAAATTAAAAGTATAAAGATGTACAGTTACGTATATTCAGCAACAGATGTGTATACATGTTAAGTAATTTTATCATCTTTTAAATCCTTAATTTAGGTGTCAAGTATATATATTAAAAAGTTTCTTTTTTGATCTGAAGTTTATGTTCTGCATCTCTCATCTGATTATTAAATGATATTCCATTTACTGTCTTTCTTTAATGTACTTAAAAAAAATAAGATGTGTTTTTAATGCCACATGAAAAAATGGCTAGAATTTATGACTTCTCAAACAAAATGTCAAATAACATTGAAATGTCTGTTATAGAAAAGCAAGATGATAAAAGTATATATATATGTATATATCTATAGCTATATCTCTCTCACTCTCTCTCTCTCTCTCATATATATATATA